ATTGGTTTTTTTTAATCAAAGAAGAAAATATATTCCTAAAGTAATTTTTTTAAATCTTGAATGTGATTTGTAGTAATTAATCGCAGTTTCTAATCACGTGTCATTCGGTTTATTAAACTTCGTTACGCATGCTTGCCGCAGAAATACGCGTAATCCAAATAAAACGCGTAAACAAATTTAGATTATAAAATATAAAGCGAAAAAATTTTCTCCAATAACTCTTTCTCTTTCTTATCTGTTCACCATTTTTCAAGAATACTGTATAATATACAAATACTCACAACATGGAAACCCCAAACAACCAAACAACAAACCTTTTTATACAAACGCCTTCACCTCTTTTACGACAAAATTATTTTAATGGATGTAACGAATTTAATAACCACACACCTTCATCTTTGACCTTGACATATTCTGATTTGCCAATGTCACCAGATATATTACGGCAGGAAGAAAAGAAATTGGCGATAAAGCGAAAGTTTAACCCCTTCGTTTTTGCAGAGGCACTACGTGACTTAAAAGATGACGAAAATTCAGAGTCATCAAAGAAATATCGAGCTAATTTTCCGTTTTCGGAAAAAATTTTAACTAAAAGACATCTAGAATTTGATGTGGATTTATCAGGATGTAAGAAACGGCGGTCAACCGATTTGGAAGGTATCAGAAAAGCCAGCAAAGATATGATTGACGAATTCTTTATGTCATCGCCATTCGTAACGGATGAAATTGATGAATTTTTCACGTCGCCGTCAATTCCAAAGCCGGTCAAAAATAGGATTGTCGATCTTAGAAATAAGTTCACTACATCATTTGCTCATATATTGAGCAAAGAGTATTTCGATTTGACAACTTTTGAGAATAGATGTAAATATCATGATCCGTTTATTCGATTAAATTTAATATATTCTAAGATTGATTATATATATTTTTGCTTATAGATATCTTTGTCCAAAAAAAGTTATCCAATGAGATATATTTTGATAGTGAATTTGTAAATAAAGAAAAGATCGGAGAAGGAGAATTCTCCGAAGCTTATAAGTGCACTGTTGAAAAAACGGGAAATCTGTGCATAGTGAAGAAGTCAAAGTTGCCATTCAAAGGCCCTTTAGATAGACAGGACCGACTTGAGGAGGTTAACATTCATTACAAAGCTGGTAAACACAAAAATATCGTTGAACTCACGGGTGCCTGGGAACAAAGGGGATACCTTTATTTGCAAATTGAATTATGCGAGAAAGGCAGGCAAGTATTCATCATATTTAATTCGTTAATTAAATACTAATAAATTAATAATTTATAATTATTTATGATTATTTATAATATATATAGTCTTGCCGATTTGATAAAAGAACGCAAAAAAAATGATGACACCTTTTCAGAAGAGGAGATTTGGCATGTAATTAGTGATATTAGATCGGTAAGTTTTTAAATATTATGTATTTTAAATAACTATTCTAAAATATTAATTTGTAATTAGGCTTTCATTTATATGCATGGGAAGTCAATCGTGCATCTGGATGTTAAGCCAGAGAATATCCTCATAAAGAAAACGAACGCTCAAAATATATACAAACTTGCCGATTTTGGCTGTGCCACGTTACTTCCACCGGTTAGTACCATTAAATACGTTATATATCGCAAAAAAAAAAAAATTTTTAATTTTTTTATTTAAAAATTTAGAGAAAATGTTTTGACAAGGATGGCGATCGACGTTATATATCTAATGACGCACTTAATGGAACATATACACCTGGTGCTGATTGGTTTAGGCATGAATAATTATTTATCTTTATTTGAATTATACAGTATTATGTTATTTCTAATATTTACGATTTACGATATAGCCTTGGGATCACCGTTATCGAGTTAGCTACACTCAGACAAATGGAGGGAAATGGTGATATTTATCAACGACTTCGTGGGGGCGATTTCGCTGATTACAAGGATCAAATTTTAACATATAGTGAAAAATTGAAGAAAGCCATTAAAGTGATGCTATCACCTAACCATAAGGAGCGCTATATTGACTCATCTTTTGAGATTTAAATTGAGGAAGGAATACCTTTAAACCTCCTGTATGGGTACCTGAGCGAAGCTGACACCTCAACGCGTTGCTCAGGTGGCGAGCTCATTTCTGGCTACTTATATTTTTTGTATGAATTCTATTATTTTTAAGTTTATTGTTATTATTATTATTATTACTTATGGAGTTCGTCTCGTTCGGATGTAAACTACTTATTAAAAATTCATATTTTTATTAAAAATAGGCATATGTATTTTCTTAAAACACGAGTTTATTACCGATCAGATATTTCAACCTTACACAAAATTCTTAGAAAGAAAATATATACAGTACATAAAAAAATTTTTTTTTTTTTGTTTAATCCAATAGCAGAATAATAATAAATCGCTGTCCTATATATTTATTTGTTTTTATTTATTTTTTTTACAATAGATTTTCAGGCCTAATTATACAGAATATGGTACATCTTTCTACCAGGACTTAAGGACATTTTATCTTTTATATTAGCATGTTTGAATGTAATATTTATAATTTATAATGTTAATCTAATTATTATTTGTAGTTCAATACCGTAATTCCTTTTCCTATGTCTCTGACGTTTATGTATAATTTATATCTTTCAATGTTATATTCTGATATAATATGTTGAGCGAAGTCAGTATATGATATAATAATAAATGTAACATATTTCTTTGTCTTATTGTTGTTCGCATCAGGTTCTGTAGTTTCAGTTAATCTTTGAATAGTTGGATTAACTTTAAATAATTATATTTCTTCTTAAACGGTTAGAAATATTTCTTTCAAATATACCAATTTTAAATGCAATACAAATTACCGTATTTTATCGAAATTAAGCATCTCTCAAAAATAAGCACCCCCCCTTATTTTGTGTAATTTTATGCAAAAATCGAAAATAAGCACCATCAAAAATAAGCACCTTATACTTTATTAATCTTTATTAAAACATGAATTACAAAATATAGTAAAAAAAAATACTTTCTAATCATCATTCATATTAACAATTTTAAATTCCTTTTCCTCTTTTTCATTTTCAATTTCTTTAAGAAATTCATAAATAGCATCATCTTCAAATCTATCTAAAGCATTAGATATACCATATTTTTTAAAGGAACAAATAATGATATCATTAGAAATATTTTCCCATGCATGTTTTACCCATTCACAAACATTATTTATTTTTGCATGTTGAAAATTTCCTGCTTCTATATATTCAGTACCACCATTAGATATCCAAAAATGCCATTTTTTACGAAGATTATCCTTAAATAGTTTATTAATAGCAACATCAAGTAGTTGATATTTGCTAGTTAAACCACCAGGAATTACTACCAAATCAATATTGCTTTTATTAAATTTTTCTTTAACTGATTTTTCTAAATGCTTTTTAAAAGAATCATAAACCATCATAGCTAGAAATTTGGATTGACTATTTGAACTTCTCATACGATTAAGATAATCAATGTAATGTTTCATCAAGTTAATATTCATCTATCCGTTTTCTTGAAACTATACAACTATACAAAAGGAACCTTTTCTTCACATGGCATTTGCTTTCTTTTAAAAATACAAATCAGTGGTAATTTGATTTCATCTGTAATAAAAGAAAAATTAAAAAATTGAAAATTATATTAAATCATTAAATTATAAAAATTTTACTTGCAGCACATGTCAAACAACAGTAAACCAGTTGTTTTCATTGTCTATTCCATGGATATGAACAGTTTTTTCTCCCTTTGTATTAATAGTAAAATTTCCAGCCATATCAAATCAGACTGATGTTTTATCTATATTAAATATATTACACAATTCAAAAGATTTTCAGATTCTAAGATGAATAACAAATTGGTAAAATACTTCCAATTTTTCTTCTAATTGTTTAGGAAGTTTTTGTGATATTTTGGTACGTTAGCGTCTAGATAAATTATATCTCTTCATAAATGCATTTAACCAACCTATAGTTGCTTTAAACTTTATTATTAAATCATCATAAAGAATTGTTATTTCTGCCTTTTCCAAAATTTTAAACATTGAAATTCTTAAAGTTATAAATATTACAGCCAATTCTTTTTTCTTTACTCTAAAATCCAATTATATAGTTCCTTTTCAGCTTCAGAATAAAAAGCCTTTCGGCCAGAACCTACTCACATACTTTTATCTTTATTTCACTTGTCTAAGTTTTACTTGTTTTAATCCAACGTCTAATCATAGTTTAATCAAGTTTAAAATATTTGCCTGCTGCATTTCTTCTATATTGAATAGCGTAAGTAACAACAGTTTTTTTTGTTCAATAGAGTATAAAGCATATTGACATTTAATAACTTTTGATATTTTAAAAAAAGGTTTTAGAAAGATTATATAAAATTTGAAAGTTCGCGTTAACACGTAATTAAAAAAACTCCACTTAATTAAAACCTGATTATGTGGGATAAGTGTTGGGAAAAAGGACCAAATTGACAAAAAAATTTTTTTTGAAATAACAAATGATCTAAATTAGAACATCTATTTTACTTATTAACTTTTTTTTAAAAAAAAATCAATTTGGCTATTTTTTTAGCACTCACCCCATGTATATGATTTAGCTAAAAAAAAAAAATTGTCAAAAATTTTTCTTATTTTTTGGCATATTACAGTTAAACCTTGATATAGCGAACCCTTGATATAGTGAATTTTTAAATCAAATATATTAAAATTACCTTTACTATAGTAAACTAGCCAATTAAATTCTTTAAAAAATTCATTATAAGCTTATAACGAAGTTGATATCCAGATCCTAGAATTCGTTATATCAAGAGTTCACTGTATATTATCTGGTTATAAATATTATGTAAAAGAGAAAATAAGAAAGATTAAAAGAAAGAAGAAAATAAAGGAATTTTTTTATGATAATAAAAAAATTAGAAAGATAATTTAACAAATATTTCAGAATTTCAAATAATGAATTGATGAAAATCTCAAAAATTTTGAATTTAAAGAAAAGTTTAACATGTCATTGAAAACATAAAATTGGCAATAAAATTGATATAAAATTAGCATTAAACACTTTTTTGCTTTATGGTAAAAGATTAGACCATTTTCCAGAAATTCGTTCAGTGATAAAATTGTTGGAGGAAAAAAATTTTTTTATTTCAAAGATCTGCATTCTGACGTTGATTTTTACCATATTTAAAAAAGTATCAAAATTAAGCAATACCCCAAACTTTTCGCCTAAAATTATTGCAAAAAGGTATGCTTAATTTGATAAAATATTGTATATCTAATTTTTTTTTCAATCACAACTTTAAAAAAAAAAGGTTTTACTTTAGTTTACATGTTATATAAGATATATTTTTTATTAAGATTTAAAAAAATAGATTTTTTAGATTAAATATTTACAAATTATCTCAAGATATCTGATGAAATTGATTAAAACTTAATTTGTTTTAAAACAGTTAAAGACTATTTTTATTATCTTTAAATTTCATATTTACTAATATAATAGTTGTTAAAACCATTTAATTTTTTTAAAAAGAATAATTAATTTTGCTTAATCTTACTTAAAAAGAAAAAAAATCATTTTCTGAATTTATGTTACATTTTTAAAATAAAATACTATTTTCCAAATTATTAATATAATTACATAGTATATATATAATAACATTCTATTATTTGTATTATTTTTAAAATATAATCTTGTTATTATTTATAATAGTTATTTTTAACTTATCATGATATCTCTATAAAAAATTAATGTTATTGAATAATTATAAACTAATCTAATAACTTTATATAAGATTTTATTTACTTATATTTAATCTATTTATTACTTTTAGGTTTATTTGATATATAGAAAGTTTGTTAGGAAAATGTAACTGAAAATTTTTTATTACATATTAATTTTTGATAATATTAAATTAAATACAATAAATATTAAAATTTTAATAAAAAATATCCCATTTTTCTTGCAAACTTTCTATATCATATAAACTCAGTATTTAAAATTAACTTGCGAAACTTGCGGAATGCATGTAATTTTTTTCCGCTAATAAACTTCAATAGGTATATGTGAATTCTGCAGTCAATTTTCAGAAATTTTCACATGTTTTCACATGTAAATTCAGATATACACAAATTCTGCAAGTTAGATTTTAATATACATGTGAATTTATTTATATAACAATATTAATTTAGATATTCTCACGTTTTTATTAATTTTTTCTTTGTTTAAAAGCTTTTCTATTTTTTTTAATGGATAAGTTTCTAATTTTAGCAAATGGTTCATCTTATATGCTACCTTTTAGTGTACAGAAATGAAAAGAAAATTTATAGAACAAAAGTTTTATCAAAAAAATGCATATTAGAAAATCAACTGAACAAAACTAAACACATACAAGGTTAGACTGGAATCCAAAATAGCCGAAAGAATATTCGTAGTTTACTCAATGTATTAATTCAAAAATGAATCAAAGACATATTGTATTTGATGTACAGAATATAATAAAAATTTTAAAGGTGCATTTATTATTAGAACGCAAAAAATTTAAGAAAGATTATTTGAATACACATTTATTTACTAAAAAACATCAAAAAGCAGCATTTAAATATACTGTTTAACCATCAGATCAAACGGAACTTACAATTGGATTTACAATTCTAGCGGATATTAATAAATTGGATATTATAGCAAAGATGCAATGTGTTTATCTTTGTGCAAAAAAGCATTTTGCAGTTAGTTCATTTTCTGATTTAGTTGAATTGACAGATCTCCAAGAAAAAAACAAAGTTGAATTAATATTTGATAAACTTCTGATTACGCTTTTATTACCATCTTATGACTTAAAAAAAGATTTAGTCATATCTGATAATTCAAATTATTCAATGAATTATGCCACATATAAAAATCCAATGGCAGGTGCTGATTTCTTACATGCTATAGCAACAGTAATAGAAGAATCAGTTTTGAGTGAAGTTTGCAAATCATCATCTTGGAGTTTATTAATTAATAAAAATAATACAGTTACACATG